ATTACTGTATAACAATTCTCCAAGGAGTCACTAATTTCACATTTCATTTTAAAATATTCAGGATGATTTCATCTTCTCATGCAATGCAGTTTCCCATGGCAGCAACTCTGCAAATTACGCAGGCCTGACGGTGCACTCTGAATTCTGGTATGATATGATTTGGGAGGAAAAAAAAATTCATACATCCGTTTTCTAAATACCCTTCCTATTCCAAATTCATAATGTGAAGTCATCCACAGAAGGTGGAAAAATATTATAAGAGCAGTGATTCTCAACCTTTTTGTACCAGAGACTGGCTCCTTATGACCTCCTCCTCTGAGGACCACTTGGAGTACATTAAAAAACAGACCACAGCAAGAATACAGTTTAATTGGGAATGGGGGATTGGTGCGGTGGCTCTGTGGCTCAGGATCTGCGCCTGTGGCTGGAAGGTTGCCAGTTCAAATCCTGCAGCTGGAAGAGGAATCCTACTCCATTGGGCCCCTGAGCAAGGCCCTGAACCCCAGCTGCTCCAGGGGTGCTGTATAAATGGCTGACCCTGTGCTCTGACCCCAAGCTTCTCTCTCTGCCTGTGTGTCTCATGGGGAGCAAGCTGGGGTATGTGAAAAGACAAATTCCTAATGCAAGAAATTGTATATGGCCAATACAGTGATCTTATCTTATGTTACTTAAGGTAATGGGAGTGAATGGTAAACATTACTCAATGGATGTATGCCAGTCCACAGACCAAGGATTGAGAAACGTGGAAGTAGAGGATCTAGCAACAGCATTCAAGGCGATATTTAACATGGATTTAGAAAAGGTAGGTCTTGATCAACCAACCTGTTAAGGAGTGCTTTGAACAAGGAGCAGCACTAATGGACAAACAAAGAACGTTATGGTATTTTTAGATTTTCTGAATGCTTTTAATAAAAGTTCCTTCTGAAAGATTATTAGAAAACATGCAATTAGTGGAATTCCACATGTATCTTTAATAATAAGAATCTACTTGATATTGCTCCTTTCATGAAACATAATCTCAAAGTGCTTTACAATTGAACAAAAGAGAGAGGTACAGAAAAATTAAGACACTATTAAACAGAATCAGATGCAAGAATCACAAAAGAGAAGCTAGAGTTTTAAGACGGGTTTTTAAAAGTGAGGACTGCAGATTGTATATGAGCTGGGAGATCATTCCAGGGACCTGGAGCAAAAGAACAGACTCAGAGAACCACAGTGTTCAGAGCACAGAGCTGGGAATGACAGGAGGCCACAGTCTGGACAGTACCAAAAACATGTGGATGTGCACTGTGCAGGAAGTGACAGCTCACTGATGCGGCCAGCAGCCAAACCTTAAGGTCAGTAGCAGTATTTTGATTTTTATTCTCAAACACACAATGTAAAGAAGTTAAAACTGGTGATATAGGCTCATGCATTATTACTTTAGCTAAGACCTGAGAAGCCGAGTACTGAACACGCTGCAACACGTTAAGAAGGTTTGAATACACCAGCAATAACTGCATTACAATGGAGAAGAGAAGGGAGCATGCTTTTGTTTTTTGCATCAGAAAGGGAAAGAGGTGAGCAATGTCATGAAGGTGAAAAGATGCCTTAACACCATTATTAACATAAAAGTTCAAATGCAAAGCTCTGATCAACAATCACACCAAGACTCCTGACCTGAAACTGGGACTGATTCCAGAGCCTTCAACTTTGAAGTTGATCAAAGGTGGCATACAAATCTCTGAACTGGCTTCATCAATCTGTTCTCCTCCCCACTGAGAGCTGGTGTGAGGTGAGCATGCTAGCACACTATAGCTGCCATCATATCATCCAAGTGGAGCTGCACACTGGTGGTGGAGGAGGGGAGTCCCCATTACCTGTAAAGTGCTTTGAGTGGAGTGTCCAGAAAAGTGCTACAGTATGTAAGTGTAAGGAATTATTATAAGATAAATCTCATCTCGTGACAAGTTTGTCTTTGTCATTATTTAGTAAACACAAAACTCAGCCAGCATTCAAAAGCCTTGTGTGAAAAATTAAGTGTGGTCAGTAAACCCCCTTAGCAGCAATAATGTGAAGTGAATGTTTCCTGCAAGAGTTTATCAGTCTCTCACATCACCCGAGAGAAATTCTGTCCCACCCCTCCTTCCAAAACTGCTTCAGATCAGTGATGTTTGAAGGCAACTTTCTTTAGGTCTCAAAACAAGCATATCAGTGGGCTTAAGGTCTGGTAGTTGTAGTGTTTCGTTTTTGCCAAACATGTTGTTTTGCGTTATGGCCAAGGAATTCCACTTTGATCTCATCTGTATAAAGGACATTGATTGAAACGTTTTGTGGTTCATTCAGATGCTGTTTTAAAACCTAAACCATGTGACAATTTCTTGTCAGAGAGAAGGGGTTTTCTCCTAGCTACTGTTCCCCAAAAGCTCTTCTTGTTCAGTCTTTACCTAATGTCAGAATAATGAATTCTAATGTTTATTGTATTGACAGACGCCTGTAGATCCCAAGATGTAGTTTTAGGGTTCATTGCAATGTCTACAAGTCTGGACGTGGAGTGTATTTTCTGGGATGCCCAGTCCTGGGTAGACTGGCAACTATCTTGAACTTTCTCTATTGGCTTTATAGCTCTTCCCAGACTGCAATAATTCTCTCTGAGACCATCACAGATATTTTTTTTACCTAAGCGTGATGTGTTACCACAAACCTGAATGCTCCAGAACAAGCTGCTAGTGTTTCTGATTTTATATACAGGTGGAAGCACTTCCTGATGATCAACTACTCATGTGCTCATGTTTAGAAGCACCTGATACTAATAAACTTCTTAACTGATATGGAAGCAGTAACAATGCACTTACCTTTTCACACAAGGCTTCTGAATGTTGGCTGAGTTTTGTGTTTAATAATGACAAATTACAATTTGTTAGTGTTGTCACATGGGGTAAGAAACATGGCGAGGACTAGGTGAAGGCCAGATCTGTCTTAATATGTAAAACCATAGAATTTTAAGAGAGTGTACTTTCTTTTTCACATCACTGTTGATTAAAAAAAAAACACTGGCACTGGACCATAGACATTTCAAGACTGGTGTTTGTAACTGGACTTAAGAGGTGATAAATTGTTGTAAAGGGACCACTGTTCTTCCTGATGTCATTGATCTAGAGACTGCTGTATCTAGCAAACTAGCGAAGCTGGCAGAGTATGCCAGATTAGCAACAGTGCTCTTCATATAACATCACCTCAACAGACTAGCAAACAGTCTAGAAGCTACAAGGGAAATTGAAAGAAATAAAGCTGATTTTGGTCTAGTAGTCTATTGATATAACAACATTACAAACTGTCTATATGCTCAACTCTACAGGTTTTCAGATTACTGTCTACATCAGGGGGCTCTATCCTTGACCCTGGAAAGCCACAGTTCAGCAGGATCTATAAGCAGCTTTCAAATCAATAATCTGGAACTATTTAATTGTACGTAACTGAAAACGCCACCTGTTTAATTGATCAATTTAGAGATCATTTAGAAAAAAAACACAGTATCGTCCATCCACAGTATCGTCCAAACCAGTGCTTTCTAAATTGAAACATTATTTGCTTAATTGATTAATTGCTTAAACAATCCTAATTGTACAGGTAATGTAAATTAAGATGTAAAAATAGCTGGACTGGGGCTCTCCAGGACCAGGAATAGAGACCCCTCTGGTCTATGGGTTGTGAGTTTGTAAAAGATAGATTTAATGAACAATAATGTAAGGACTTGACTCCACCAACCCTGACATTAGGGATGGTGTCGATAGAGTGATGCTCTGTGTTGGGTTTCCATCAGGTTTAACACTTTGTTCTTTGATCAGTTTTGTCTTTTCTGACCACCAACACCTTTGTCACATGTTTACATACTTTTCTCCAAACTCCATGAGGGATTCAAGACGTTTTTTTCCTTCTGTACAGTAGATAAAGTACAGTACAAGCCAGCTGTGTGGTACGGCAAGGATATTGTTCACTCCTGTACATTTTCGTCCACCTTGGGCATTAAACGTGCTCATTTAAAGAGCTCACAGTGGCCTCCCTCACCAGTTTCCTCATTACCCAGCTGCTCAGTTTGGTGGGACAGCCTGATCCAGACAGTATCTAATGGATATGATACAGTACATCTTCCACTTCTTAATGACTGATTTCACTATTCTCAAAGAGATATTTGGTGTCTTTGAAATTTTTATACACCTTAAAAATTATTTTCATACCCTCCTGCTTATATCTGCTTTTCTACAACTTTATCTATGAGTTGGTTGGAAAGGTCTTCTGTCTTGATTGTTGAATATTTTAAGCTTGAAATTCACCAGTTGACTGAGGAATCTAACAGAGACAGGTGTATTTATCCTTAAATCATGTGAACTTCGATTGTGAAATCATGTGAACCATAAGGCAGAGATCACTGATCTTATTATGTGACAGGTGAAAGTAATTAGGTTTGCCATAGCAAATAGGGTACAGTAAGTACTTTTGCAATCAACACCTTAGTTTTGATTTTTTTTATGTACAGTTTTTAAGTAGACTTAGCGCCCAAGTGCATCCATTGTGAAAAGTGTCTATTTGGAGCGTTTCAAGTTTTGATTCACTTACAAATAGTATACAGCATATTATTTGCAATACAACTAAAAAGGGACATCAGAAACGATTAATAGTTTTGCAAGGCAATGAAGGTACTTGCTTATTCGTGCAATGAACCGAATAACTTGGGGGTTAACAAAACATAAAACTCGTTTCAGATTTGTTCTTGCATTTAATGATGCAACGCTGCCTCTTTTCCAGTAGTAAATATTTAAATAAAAATGTAAGGGCTATGTGGATAAATAATAGTTTGTGAATTTCGCGAAAATATGTTTTTAAATGTTTTCCATTTGCCCATGTATCGACTTTGATATAAATATAAAATGAAACGTACTACAGTGACATCGTATTGAAAATTAAAGTCTTGAGATTTTTATTGTTTAAAGACCAACCGTATATTCCTAGAAAAAAACACTGGTGTATCTTTATAAATCAAAGACAAATTAAATAAAACATTAAACGCTCCTCAAACCTCAGCGGCTTACTGTAAACCTGCGCTCCAGTGCGTTATCAGCTTTTCCCCGCAGTCCGTCATAAACGGGAATAGCCGTTAAAAGCTGTGCTAAAAAACTAGTCTGAATTGCAATATATCAGTATTCATTCTCAGAAAAAAATGATTTTGTTCTGCGTATACTAGAATAACCTTTAGAGTTACCCATTTATTTATATTTTTACCATGGAAACCAGCTCAAAACGAGCCAACAGGCCTGCTGAGTCCCCGGGTTTTCCTCCATGCGAAGCCGAATCCAGTGACAGCTGCCTGGGAAGGGAGAGGATTGATTTCCCGGTTGCTGTGGTTCTGCCTGCAGGCGGCTCCGGCGAAAGGATGGGACTGCCAATCCCAAAACAGTTTTGCACATTTCTAGACAGACCGCTAATAAGCTACACAATTCAAGCTTTCGAGAGGTAAAACTGCGTGTACTGAAATCATTTATTTTGATCAATTCCCATTTTGTCTGACGTTTCTTTTTTGCTTACCTTGTAATCTTTGCAAACACCGTGAATGCGGCAAAAAAAGGAAATCGCATTTATTTATTTTCGTTTGAAGCAAAGTAGTTTAACTTCCTGGGTTTCACTGCAAGTTAATTTTACGGGGCGGCAAGTTTGCACGAATAATGTTAATTGATTTAATTTATTGTGACTGTTCTCAAACGTCTGCAGCACATTCATTTCCCCCGTTTGCTCCTTTATTATACTGTATGAAGGTAGAAATAGGGTTTCTGCGTTTTAACAGTAAACGGTGTAATGGAGCACAACCCCCATTATCTTGAAGGTTATAGTCAGCAGTAAAACGGAATAAGGATGAAAATAACCTGGTCGATCTCTGTAGTGCACATATATGTCCTTGTTGAATTGACAATACTTGATTAATTTACTGCACTGCCACAGATCCACAAGAGTTTAAAGTATTTATCGTAAAGACAATAACACGTTAACAAAAAATTGATTAAGTTTTGTGTTGTCAGAATGATATTCTTCCTACCCTAGGTAATTTACAAATGCCTTGGTTTTTTTTCTACAAGGTTAATTTATTTTATTTCATAATGTAAAAAAATGATTTAAAACTTTCTGGGATGTAAACTAAGGTCAGTGTACAGTAGACTAATTTCAATCATTTATATTTCATTGCAAGAGTTTTAATTTTCTGTTTTTACAAGGACAAAAACAAATTCAGGTTGCCTGATATAACATGTGATTCATTGTTGAGTTAAGTAAGCAAAAAATGCTTATTTTCTTCTTTTGGCACCTTCCCTCTCCCCCACACACACAGAGTTCCTTGGATTGAAAATATAATTGTTGTGGTGGCGGCAGAACACCTGGATTTGCTGAAGAGCATTATTCACAAACACTGTCACAAGAAAACAAAGTTGGTTGCTGGTGGACCAACTAGACACAGATCCATTTTCAACGGGCTTCAGGTGTTTGTGGAAAATGGATGCGATTCACAGCTGCCCAGACCAGAGGTTGTCATCATTCACGATGCAGTTAGGCCTTTTGTGGAAGAAGAGTTTCTTCTGAAGATCGCAACTGCTGCCAAACAGAATGGGGTAGGTTCCATACTCTTCATTGCTTTCTCCAAGAAATATAGATCCCACGCAAAGAGGATTGTGTGGTTTAAATGTAGTTTGGACATGGAATTTGTGGATGGGAATTAAACGGGAATTTGGGAGAGAGGACACGGACTTTGATTAGACTCGCCTGAGTATAAAGATGGGTAATAGTGCTGAGGGAAGTTGCTTTTAGAAAAGTAATCAAAAGCTGTGACAAATTAGTTGTGTAAGAGACAAACGCATGTATTCACTTAAAATTTTAAATGGATAAAATTCCTAAATTTTAAAATGATTCGCAGGAAACCACTTTCAGTTCAGCTGAAGTTATGTGATTCTTTGTACAAAGCAATGTTTGAGTGAAGATGATGTTTCTGTGTTTCCTGAAAAGAGAACTCTAGAACCGGTGAAAGAGCACGGTCCATTATGTAGAATGTACTCATCCAGAGCATACAAACTAAATACAGACAGCAAAGCTGAATAGGAGAAGGACAGACTCTTCTGTTTTCCATGGTATTTAATTTTCCTTTTAATCCGAAAGGAAGTAATTCTTCTAAGTCTATAAGCACTTTACTGTGTAGGGCTTTTCTGTTTTATTCAAAATGGAAGCAAGGGCATTACAATCTCATCCCCATTTGCTTTCCAAAACAGTCATGACTTCACTTAAAAAATCTGAAGTATTTTAATCTCATAATTATCTGCAATCAGACTCTCTTTGAAGCTGCTGCTCCACTAAGTTTAGATAGGTACTGTGGACATTGAGAATAGACAATTCAGAGACAGAAAAAGTAATTATGTGGCAGAGGGATTCAATGCCTTACATTAATAACTTAATTAGATATTGGTACAGAATTCTGAATAGATGAGCACGTTTATACCTGTAGGATATTCACTAGATGACAGGTAGAGCTTTCAAGCCTGTCCTTAAAATTCTCGCTGTGAATGCCTGCCCCACAGTCTTTTGACTTGTGTAAACACATTTTCCAAGCATTTACATGTGGTAACAATTCTGATGGACTTGAATGAGGAAAAATTAATCATCATTATTGTAATCTGTTGCCAGACTCAGAGCGAAAGCAGGAACTGAAAGAGACAGTTCTAGTATGACTACTAACCTTTTCTTTAATTTCTGGAAACACTTGGTAATGGTATTTTTTTTGTAACTTTACGAAAAACAAAAACAACAAGAATTTAGGCAGTGGCATAATTCAAGGTGTTTTTTATGAAAGTTTGAAAGGTCAAATTTGGTTCTCATATTTCATCAGTTCTGTTTTATATTTGTATATTAATAAGGACAAAGAATGCTAATCAGTTTTCATTAAAACATGAAAACTGTTCCATGTGTTAGGACCCATTTTTTGCTTTGTACTCTGTGCGGTGTTGCAGTTGCAGAGCAATGTTTGCTTACTTCCATATCATCAGCTATCATGCAATCTTGCTGCAATGCAGAACTGTTTGGCCATTTAATTTTGCCTGCATCCAAATGCACCACTCTTCGCTAATGTGGCTGACTTGTACTGTCCCTTCTGTAGAATGGTAACTGTGTTTGTGAATAAAACAATTAATGGCATGACCTTATGTGTGTTTCTTTGTTAATGAATTAGTTAATATAGTACCGATTGCACTGTGGGTGCTGTAGCAATTGCTGTAGTTCCCCTTTGGGACAGTGGGCAGACTTAGTAAGACTTATCAGAATTCAAACAACCATTAGTGGTTTGAAGTCATTATCTTGGAAAAGGAAGTAATTTGTAAGGGGGTGGTTAGCTGGGTTCAAGCAAGGAGCAGAGGGTGCTTTCAAACTGGAAAAGTCATTCAGGACGTTTGTACAGTACTGTATGTTCTTCCTTCTGGCGAATTCTGGAAATGACTCATCATAAATGAATACCTTTGAAATGGCTTCCATTAGTGTGTCCTTAGTATCCCTGACATCCAGAGAACACTTAGTGTATCTGATTTTCTGTGGAGAGCTTATCTTACTTTCAGTTTTATTTCAGCGAACCTTGCTTCAATCAGTAAACTAACCTGACCTGGAATTCTTTCTAGCTACGAAACCTCTCGTTAATCAGTGATTTATACATCATACATATTATACTGGAATTTGGAATTCTAAATCATTCAGTTGCATACTGGAAGTACATTTAATTATTATTAATTAGCAGTGTAAGAATATACTAAACATCAAAACATCAGTTTAGTCTTCATTGATTTGAAGTAAATGTGTATTCAGTTCCAGTATATTACATATCAGGAGAAAAAGTATATGTGATCAGTAAAGAGAAAATGTATATGAAACAAAATGTATCTGGAATAGAAAACAGATAGAGGCAACTGGAGAAAATGCAGGAATGTCAGTTTGAACTCTGAACTCTATAAAAGATGCATTGGTGCATTGTGTCGAGAGACAAATTGACTTTAATGTTACTAAGTGTTTGGAAATGCAAAGTACTGTAAATGCACGCTCATGGGTTCGCTTAATTTTAGAAGACTCTCTGATTGTCTGAAAGTGTGCGACTTAAATGTAAACCTCCGATTCCCTTTTGTGCGCATGTGTCTTCCCAGGCCGCAGGAGCTATAAGACCCCTCGTTTCCACTGTGATCGCTACAACCCCAGAAAGCTATCTGGACCATTCTCTGGACCGGGCCAGATACAGAGCCAGTGAGATGCCACAGGGCTTCTTATTTGATACCATATATCAGGCTTATCAGCAGGTAGGTCATATTGACAGTGTTATATTACATTGATTACAGATACAGATAAGTGTTACTCCCACATGCAAGAAGCTGTGTAAATCCTTCATTTAGATTTTAAAACTGAAAGCTACGCTTCCAGTGCTAGGTTGGAATTTTATCAAACATGAGTAGAATTAGGTGGGTAGCTGCGTCAGCATGCGTAGGCTTCTTCTTCACACCTGAAGAAGGCTCCACGACTCCAAGGCTCCACGGCCAAAACGTTGTGTTCTCTTTCTTCTTTTTTTCAGCATGGAATAAACCTATTACTTGTTCCATTAGTAGAATTAATCTCCTAATTTTAAGTCAATGCAATACGGTAATGTTACAGAATTGTACATGTAGGTTTGTGTAAAAGTGAGTGAAATTAAGATAAAATACAGTTCTAGTGTGTCAGCTCCTTGAAATAGAGTAAAGCAGACAACTTAGATGCTTGGATTAAATGTCAGAATTATTTGTATTGAGTTGAGTATTGTTAACAATGACAAATGCTTTGGGTGAAAACTGGGGGTATTGTATATAAACAAAATGACAGAAAGATTCACTTCGACCTGTGTTGCCACGCAATAAGGGAATTTGTGTAGCTAAGCATATCATACACCAGCTTGAAAAGCAAGCTAAACTGTAGCTCCCAGCTATTAATTGACTGCTGAAGTGAGTCCCGGTAGATGAAAGCTCAAAATTATTGCCATGTGGAGCCTAGGTATTCAGCGGGAAGCACTAATGACATGATATAAATAAGATCAAACGTGCCGAGATGGGAAGACACCAGTTCCCTGCTCTGTGTCATTTATAACTTACTGGGAATGTTATAAGTTTTACAGTTTTACTTCTGCGCTGTCGAAGACAAGCGAAGAAACAGTCAAGAAATTAACTTAATTATAGTTTTGAAATGAAAGGGAAAAGAAAAGGTTTTGTGTGATGTTAGGATTGACGCGAGTCCTTAAACCCTGAAGCCTTAACAGGGAGGAAATCTTGGTTAACCACCAGAGTTCTTCAAACGAAGGGTTGCTGCAGTACTTGTACAAAATTCAAACAAAATGCAGGCTACAATCAGAACTAGAACATAATCAGAACGGCATGAAAGAAGTAATCTGTTTGACTTGCTTTTAGTTTGCATTAACATACAGTACTTTTAATCATCCATCCATTTTCTAACCGCATTTTCCAGTTCAGGGGTGTGGGGGGAGCCGAAGGCGGGGTACACCCTAGACGGGACGCCAGTCCATCACAGGACAGACAGGCACTAACCCAGGCACGCATCAGGGGCAGTTTTCCCAGAAGCCCGTTAAATTGGATATAGCTATCCTACAGAGATACAGAGATCTGCATGGAGTACTGGCATACAGAAGACATGATGGATGGATTAATACCCTCATTCATTTATTTCTGTATGATGTGAGCATGTCCCAAAGGGGTCGGGCAGCCAGTTGACCTTTGACCCCTAGAGGTTTTTTTTTCCTCCTTACTCAGGAGTTTCTGGTTCCTCTCCTCCGTTGTCTTCTGGTCTTTTCTGTTTTGTATTCACAACATGTACGGTACGGTCACGTGCATTGTTAAGCGCCTTAGGGGCAACCTTGTTGTGAAAGGCGCCATATAAAAATCAGTTGAATTGAATTGAATTAAAATACCAGTCTATTTTTGCACTGTGGAAATGGGAGCACCCAGAGGAAACCCACACCTACAAACTCTCTGCAGATAGCAGCCCCGGTCCATAGTGCTGGGTGGCAGCAATGCCAACCACTGTGCATGCTGTCCTTACTTTTAATCCAACAGGCTTTGATAGACACTGTTAACTTATTTGTTATTACACAGCAGGTTAATCTGAGGGTAGCTCAAAAGGACACATTTGTTGGGATGTGAAAAGCAAGTTGATTTTCATTAAAATAATGATAATAAACCAAGATGCAACAACCTGTTTTGCTGCTTTATGTGTTTAAACTGCAAAAAGTTACTTTACAAGCACAACAAAGATGTTTTCTGTAGCTTGCATGCTATCTGAAAACCAACGACTACATTTTTAACTTCCAAGAAATATTTTTCTTCAAATATCCATTATATTATTGAGGAATATTTCCTAACTTTGTTGCTATTAATTATTTGAGAACTGTAGCATTAGTCTTTATATTTCACAATTAAAACCTACTAGTAGTGAAGCGGAGTCTGCAGTTTATAACAGAGGATCAGGAGGAGGGTTGGATCCTAATCTCGCACAGTTCCGCTCACCTGCGTACTGTATGTAAGTCTCGTACCCATGTCTTCCCTTTGTATATTACTCTTGCATTCCACACCCCCTCTGCGTGTACCCCTGCAGCAAACCTCCCTATACAGTAGCTTCATCCTCACAGTACTGAGGGCGGGTTTGGGGTCAGGGCCTCCCTCAGCTAGGTGAGTCATGCCAGATGCTCAATAATAGAATTCATCCCTCTGCTGAAGTCACTGGGATCTAACCAAGCTACTGACAGGATAGTATAGTCAGAAACTGAAAGTAATAGAGAAGTTCTAGAAATGTTAAGGCTAGAAATGTCACAGGTCTACTATATTAAATATTATGTGTTAAAACTGCCTCATAGCACAGAAAACCCCTGTGCAAATTCTGAACAGGGGGTCTGTTTAAGGCTATTGGTTGCCTGATCGTCCTGCTATTAGGTAATTGATTAATGAAGCACCATGGGCCATCACTGCCCATGCCTTTGTTTTATGCAAATAGTTTAACATATTCTGTGCTGTTTTGTAGACCACAAATACAAACAACCATAAGGCTGTCAGCCTTGGTTATGCTTGGATGAACCAAAATAAAACTGAAATATATAATTTTTGAAGACATTATGCCAGTTCTCCTACCTTCCATTGTTCTTTTCTTCTCAACATGTGCCAAGAGCTGTATGAATTAATAATGAAGGTGTACAAGGTAGCTACATGCTCTGCTGTTTTTATAGAATAAAAATCGCTCATTTTTGGCGGAATATTACATACTTGAGCTGCAGAGCGGAGACTTGTATAGTTTTGAAAAGATTAGCTGTCTTAGAAACTTTCATTTAGGCCTGTGTTCTCAGTGTATTAGGGCATAACTCTGGTAATCACTCTACAAAACATCATCAAGTCTGAAGAAGGGGTCAGGAAGAGGACTGTGTTTATGAGCTTAGCCCATGAACAGGGTTTGAACTGTTTGGTTTAGTCCTTTGAAGTTACTCTGAATCAAGTATTTATTTTTTAATGTGAAGAAAGTACAGCTCATATATCAAAATGAAGAAAATACCAGAACTGTACTGTAGGACCCTTTCTTATACAAAGAGTGTTGGGAAGCCTGAAGCAACTGCTTGGCTATCTCATCACAGCTCGCATCTTGATGTCTTTCAGGGAGACTGCTACATTAGTGTCTTGGTTTAATTAGCTTCTAAAAACTAAAAAAACAAAGATGAGTAGAATAACCTGTTTGCAGCATTTGTGTTCTTATGCAAGATCTTGTTAGATGCAAGATAGGATGTTTACCGTTTCCTTAATTTTCAAATCATGGAAATGTTTTAGTACCCATCGATAATAAACAGAAAACACATTCAGCCCATCTGAATGTTGTACAGCATTTAGAAAAACTGTAAACAGAACAGCACAGGCACTAGAAACTACTAGCTTTGCTTGTACTTTCAGTTCGCACACTGGGGGAAAAAAAAATTAGCCTGTTAATTTGCAATTAAAAAAAAACACTTCATTGTCACTTTCTGTAAAAAAAAAAAGTAAATCTGACTTTGGAGCTTGTTTGTGTTTTGTGTTTCTCTCTCCTCCTGGTATACACCTAGGTCAGTGTGGACAAGATACTCTTATGTTTTGCCTTTCTGGGGCAGCTCTGTTGTTTATTGTATGATCAGTAATGGTTCTGTCAGTACAATGGCCTGGGTACTGTAGCTCTTTTGGTTCTGATATACCCATGTAGATCATGTGAAATGTGTGAGTGTAGCCTGGCTCTTCGGGTGTGTAATGCTGAAATGCTAATCACAGAAGAAAGACCTTTTGGCAGAATGAGTTACATTACAAGTGAGAATTTATTAAGAAAAAACAGTTTTAAGTTTGTGGCAAGCACCTATGTTTCAGCCTCCAAAGTGTCAGAATTTAAACTTAATTTGCTTATTACTGTTTTCAAACAGTGACTTGTGTTTCCTTTTTTCTGTCGCACCATTTAGCATTTTGTCATTTTAGAAGTGTTGTAATTTAACATTTTTGTTATTTATAGTTTATTTTTGTAGAATTGTCTAATTTGAAATGATCTTTAAGTGTGATAGAAGTACCAATTGATTTGTTCACAGAATTGTAGTAGATGATGGTGCATACTTGCCAAGTTGTACTCATGAATATTGTTGATCAGAACTGAACTGGGGTCACTTAGAACACACTTGTAGAATAAATATATGAATTATGCTCCAGCTAGTGTTGAGCATTTCCTCCATTCAGCAGCAACTATCTCCTCATCTGCTAATGCATACTCTTAGCTGATGAGCATAGTCCTTGACAGGCCAGGTGGTTGCTGCTGCCTCTGAGATGGGTCACAGTTGAGACACTACAGGGACTCAGATGTAGTTTTCTTTGGCTGTGGAGGTATTTCAGCAGTCAGGTAATAGCTTTTTGCCTGATATTTAAGGGGGGCTGGATCTCTACTTTTATATTTCGTTTTTAGAAAGAATCAGCGTTGCCGAATGCTTTTCAAATCACAGTAAAAGTAGAATGTGCATGGTAACTTGTAAAACTTTACATCACGAAAGAGACAACATTTTCACGTATGTGCAATGGCATGTTTTGCGATTGGGAATGAGGCAACAGAACTTACGCTGACATGAAGCGGCATTATGACATTGTAAACAAACAGGCTTGTGAATCTCTTTTAATCCAATAGAAGTGTTGCTCTCGACTTTGAGATGGGTTTGCTGACCAATATTAATTACTTGTTAAGTCTGCGTACAGATCATGTTGGAACGTTTCTGCGTTTCTGATTCTGAAGTTCTTTGGATGCACAGTTGCAGAGATATTTCACACAGAGAGAGAGAGACGTTTGCATGACAATACCGCACACCTTTCTTCAGGCGAATGAATACATTGCTGTAATGGCAACATTGTTTTCTTAATAATAACACTCACCGTGCATTTTCAGATCAAACCGAAATTACGTTTTTATCTTCAAATCTAAAAAACAATCTGACATTTAATACCCGTTAAATGGTGTAAAAGTCTAAGGTATCCATCAACTCCATGCTCAGGGCCATTTTGGTTAAATTCTTGGTAGGGTGTATAAAAACAGCCAGTGTAGTGTATAAAACTTTGACATACTTGACACTTATGTAAGCACTAGCAGAAAAGAGACAATGAAGAGACACATAATCTTGGGATTAGTGTAAGCTTTTGTAGAAAACAAAATACTAGGGACTAAATTGCTTTAAGAGTTTTCAAGTATCAATGCATTACACTGGTTTGCTTCTATATAATAAAACCAGGTACAGTACATTCCGTTTCATCCCTTTCTATTTTAGAAGCTGGGGTTTGGAATCTTTTATCTTTTATCTTCTATAATTGTAGTCAGAACAGATACAGTAGGTGTCTGTGGACCAGCTGTCATGCTCATGCTTTAATCGGTACAGCTGCAAAACTGGGTTTTCTGTTTGTGTTGTGAAATTAACTCAACAAGGAGCGAGGTGATGTATGGAGTAATGATGGTCGGTGTTGTAGTTCCAGTTGCTGGTTTTGAAAATGGTGCACTTTCATCAGAAAAAGGTTTTAAAGTGTTATTAGAAGAGTGAAATGTTATGCTTTAGAACTTGACTCACAGCTTCAAGAAGCATCTGAAAAGACCTGAGAGACAAGTACGGTATATATGAATATGGAATAGTGTACTGCTGTCATACAGTACAGTAACCCTATTCATATATACATTGCACAGTATATATAACACACATTTTCCTTAGAATATGGTTTGAAATATTGACTACAAAATCTGGACCAAAATGTGCAACACATTTTTAAGCCTCTTATTTAAAAAGTGTGGTGTGGTGGCGATATTAAACAGTAACACCTTGGGTGTTTTTTATAGATAACTGTACACCACAAAAATCTTCAAATTAGAAAGAAGGCATAATATATAGTACTGTTCTCAAAGGTAATTAAGATAGTTAATCATGATGTGTTTTATTAGCTTTGCAATTACTTTAGAGTGATCTTTTCTTGGTTTTGAAAGTGCAATGACCAGTTCTCCTGTTTCCACAAAGGGTAAGCTGTTGTCTTTTTAAAAACATGCTTATCATGACAGGGGCAAACACTGTTACCTAAAGGCAGCTTGGCTGAACAGATCAGCGCAGACCAACATTACTTATGCATTTGTGTAAGAAAGTAGAAAAGTATGTTTGCATGACACTGACAAAGTCCTTGCCTGTCTTGTATATAATGAAACAATGTTTGTGTTCACAGTGCAGTGACTATGACTTTGAGTATGGGACAGAATGCTTACATCTTGTACTGCAGTATTCTGGCATTAACGCTAAGCTCATCGAAGGACCATCCAGTCTGTGGAAGGTAAGATGTACGGCATGTGTGCAGAAGAAATGCTGCAGTTTTGAATTTTTGATACACATTCTATACAAAATAAACACTTTGCTTTATTTAATAATATTCCCATAGCATTCTGTGACCCTGTCATGCTGTTTTCATAGGTCTGCTTCCAAACATTTAGCAAGATACAAAAAAGTAATAAATATAAAATAGAAAGTTAAATAATGTACAAAATCAGGGACAACAAATTGTGCAGTGGTTAGAACTGTTGCCTCACAGCACTGCAGCCCTGGGTTCTATTCTGGACCTGGGATACTATCCGTGTAGAGTTTAGCTCCGGTTTCCTCCTACGGTCCAAGGACATACTGGGGAGTTCATTGGGTTCTGGGGAAAACTGGCCCTGCTGTGGGTGTGTGGGTGCCTGTGTCTGTGTGCCTGCCCTGCAGTGTGCTGGCGTGCTGTCCAGGGTGAACCCTGCCCTGCGCCTGTTGCTATAGCCTGGATAGACTCCTGCTTCCCCGTGACCCTGAACTAGAGGAAGTGGTTAGGATGAAATGAACGGATGGATGGACAAAATTTCTGTGAAAAATCATCTGTTTTTCTATTGTTATTGTTTCATTTGTGTTTAATTTTTATTTACAGATCATAGTTTTCATTGTTGGGTTTAGCTAGGTTTGGGGGACATTAGATGAATGTATGGTTCCGCCACATTTATAGCACTTAGTAGTGCTTACATCTCCTGATCTCTGATAGCTAAAGCATCTTTAGTCTTCGCTTATGGAGTATCTCATCCTCCAGAATCTTGGTATTATTTACATTTTAACCTGATTTCAAGTATTTTCCTCTGCGTTTTATTGTTGCCAAAGCGTATTCACTTTCGATCTGGTGAGGAAATCTCAAACTGCTTGATTACCCGGTCAGCCTGATACACTGCTCTACAGTACCTTCACCGTGACCCAGGAAGGTTGCTGATGCAGGTCTGGCTTCCCAGAGATGTGCATTTAGCTCATTACCTCCTGTCTGTCCTGTCTGGAGGTAAATTTCGCCTGGTGCGAGGAGACCCTCCCCCAGTGCAGGTCCTTGCTCCTAAGCCAGTCTCGCAGTTAGACCAGGCAGCCGCAGATGATGGCTCTGGGCCAGTCCTAGTAGTTTTCGGCCTCTTTCATGCCCCTCTAGGGCAGTTGCCGACACAGCTATTGAGACCTCATCTCTGTGCTATAGAACCTACCTGGCACTAAGTCAGATCATAAGTCATAAAATCATGTCAGATCCCCTCCCCTTATGAGCAATTTCTATAACTAATTTCCATTTATCATCAAACACGCGCTTGGTTTCCAGCTATTATCCTCTTCCCTTATTCCACAGACGTTGCTTGAGGAAAAAAAAAAAAAGCAGATTCAGATCCAGAGTCAGATTCATGTTTTTACCAGTTTTAAAGAATGTTTATGGCCTTGGGAGCTGTACAACTCAAAATCGATTATTTGCCATGGCAACCTTAAACTGCATCTTTTATAAAAGGATTAGATCTCTATTGAGGTAAAAATAGAAGGCAAAACAAGAACTTTAGGTCTATTGGTGTTCATACAAGTACTGCATTACTGGGTACTGCTTTGTCGGAAGTGGTATATTGTCGTTAGCAGGTATAAATTATAATTAAAGTCTTTTTAAGGTCGTAAAGCAGTAATTGTGGCTAGGCTTTGCAGCATAGCATTTTTCTCAATGTAATTGTAAACTATAATTGTTGGAAAGGTACAAATATAGTCTCAGATCCTATGCATGTGGGAAAAAGGCAGTTAATACATTTTTCATTTAGCAATGGTTTGGGTGAAGTGTTTGGAATTTGTGGTACAACACAGAGTTGGACTGGAGAGAAGCAGAGTCCTTCATAGAGTGAGCAGACTCCTCATTAGCAGTCATTACTTGGCACATCCTTCTCTGGACGGAACACCTCAAGACTCAGTCAAGCCATGGCAGATAGAATGCATGATGCTTGTTATATGTTGAGGTTGAAATTTTTAGATTGTCAGGAAGGTAGGTCAGCAAAACCAAGCGTTAAGTATCTTAAAATGCTGATTGCATTGCTGTGTGTTTAATGACCAACTTTTCTGTTTGTTGGGTTATATCTGGGTTTGTGATGGCAAAAAAATATTTAATGCTTTAAAAAAAAACACAGCTTAAAATATCAGTGTATTTCACTACAATTATATTCTAACAGTATTTTGATCTGTAATGAAATGTTCAAAGGCATCTTTAATTGGATTTTGACCTCTTTGCCTTATTCTATATATATAGTAATATTCTATCATATATTCTAACTGGGTTTTTCTGTTTTTTTAGGTAACCTACAAACGGGATCTATTTGCAGCTGAATCAATAATTAAGGGTATGTGTTTGTTTTTGATTTGCTGTTGTGTATCAGCCTCGGCTCATTCCATTTGCAATATGTCATTGTTTGGCGTGTTACTGTGTGCTGGTATGTTTTCTCAGTGTTGCAGGTGGCAGAAGATCTGGTGAATGCTGGTGAATAGACGGATACATGAAAAAATAAATTATATACAGCTATTGTTGTGACTGTGTGACTGTTTGTATAGTTTCGGCCAACGATTCTGAAGGGAAACACTTGAAATATTGTGTCCGTCATCTGTTCCCTACTGTTGCTGTGTAAAGCAAAATGTATCCGGATTCTACATTTGAATACAAAAGGGAAAAAATGTGGTTGGTAAATAAATCTAAGAGTACTGAGTGAGCTGAGATTCAACGTTTTTCTGTTACAAGTATTAAACGTCCACATTGGCCCTTGGTGTTGCATTTGGGTCCAGGCTTATGTGGGGGTAATACAGCAGATAGATGGGTTCTGTCAGTACCAACACCTATATGAATGATCAGCTCTCTTCACATGATCACCCATTAATAAATCGAGAATTTATTGACATGACTCGGCTACAGGACTTGCTTTATATTTTTTGCACTAAAAGGAAACTGCAGATTAATATTTCAGTGTTACTTCTGTTTGTTTCCAATTGAATTAAATTATATGCTGAACATTTACAATCTTTCGTCTTTGGGCTTGATATACTGTCTGCACATTTCAGCTCACTGGAATCCCTAAAAGGGCAGATTTCACCATCACCATTCTGGATGTAATTAGGAATGCAATCACCAATATCCCTTTAATCAGTGTTACAGAATTACTGTGTATAGTGTTTGGGGATTAGTCTTGTGTTTAATATCAAGTAATCAGTAATATCTGCAACTAAGTGAATTGATAAGTTAAAAAGGCAGTAACACAGGCATTGATGTTTACAAGAAGAAATATACTTAAAGCATATTTTTAATTTAACATCACTAACCTTAAAAGGACTAAATTAAGTTTCGAAATACATTTAAGCCTGTTCCTTTTACTCTGACCAAAATAATGTAAGAAATACTGTAAAAAAACGTATTTGAATGTTAACTGTTTTGTATAAGGTGATTTTGATATATGCCATTTTCTTTGCCAGTCTGATCAGAGGTTAGGGATTTTATCCTTTATTCAGAGGAAACTGTCAATTAAATAATTAATATATAATAAATAATTTAGTGTATTATATCACGAATCATATGCATTAGTCACAGCAGAGAGATTGACCTTTTTACTCTTTGGAAAGGGAAGAAGGTTTGTGCGTGTGTTGGGAAGTATATATGAAATTTTGTAATTTATGATTAAAATAATTTGCAAGTGATTGTGTTCCAGACGAGTCTGTCGCTTTGTTAGTTTTAAAGGCTGATGATTTATGATGGTATTTTGTGTGAAGCAAATATATAAATGCAGGGAAGGATCAGGCTTAATTATTTCAATAAACTGGGTTAACATTTCAACAGCTGGGTGCACTGTAGCATCAGAAGGCATGGCATGCCTCAGAACTGGCCTGTGTGTTCTCTCTGTGTAAACCAAGTTAAAGCGTTGTTAGTCTTGGCAGCGTGTGAACATGTTTACAGAGTGTGTCCGCCTGGGCACGTTCTGCAGGCCTGGGTGGGCTCACAACAACAGAATAACAGCTCTTTGTTAGTGAGGCAGACAGCCCTCAAATTGTGCACAGATTCATTTTTCAGGTTATTATCCTGCTAAAGTATAAAAGCCGAACAACCTGTTTATTAAAATTAGTCTTGGAAGCTCTTTAAAAGCTAGTGTTCCACAAATTAGCTCATAAATCATGACATGAAATCATTATAGAAGTACAATAAATGGCAAGTGCAATTTATTCTTTTTTATTGAATTGGAGGGCACATATATAGAAGGCATGTGCACGTACAGTGACGTGATAAAGAAAGTACACCCCTTTACGATTTTTTATCATTTTGCATATTAAGACATGTCTGACCTTCATCTAGTCCTCATCAAGTCCTAAAAATACATAAATTTAACATCATATGACAGATAACACACAATTTATTCTTAATTAAACAAACTAATCAGCCAACATTCAGTAGCACGCAGTTTTTGTGTGAAAAAGTAAGTGATTCAGCAGTGTGTGTTACCAGCAGTAACTTGAAGTAAACGTATCCTGTAAGAATCTCTCACATTGCCTGGGAGAAATTCTGGCCCACTCCACCTCACAATACTGCTCCAGCTCGGTAATGTTTGAGGGCATGAATTGATCCACAGCTGACTTTAGGTTGTGCCAGAGCATCACAATGGGGTTGGGTCTGGACTTTGACCTGTTCATTCCAAAATCCTGATTCTTTTCTTTTTCAGCCATTCAGTTGTAGATTTACTGGTGTGTTTTAGATTGCTGTCCTGTTGTGTGATGCACTTTGTCCTCTAGAATGCGCTGGTATAGAGAGAAATTCATGGTGAGCTCAGTGATTGTGAGGTATCCAGGTCCTGTGGCTGCCGAGTAGGCTCAGATCATCACCCCTCTACCCTCTGCGTGACAGTGAGGTTCGATGCGCAGTGCTTGGTTTATGGCCATATTTCACTTTTGTCTCATCTGTGCTTTAGTCTTTGGTCTCAATTGAAATACCCTGGGGAGTTGTCTCAATCAAGTAATGCATTTTGAAATGATGCCTTTGACTGCCTTTTTATTTCTTCAATAGCCTAAACAGCCAAAACGACTGAAGTTTTTTAAGAACTTGAACCAAGTTCCCAACAAGAGGAAAAACTATTACTGCTTCAATTATAGTATAACGTAATTGCTAAATTATTTTATCATAAATAGCCTTGCAGCACACAGCGGCCTTTTAAAAATAGTTCTGCTCTAAACATCAGAAAGGTCACAGGTGTCAGGAGGTTAATTTAGGTCATTAGTGTCTCCTGGTTTGGTTTCACTGTAGTCCCATAGCCAGTGCAAACTGCCCATGTGTTCAATCCTCTTGAAACCCCCCAGGCAAGGGGCAGTTTAGAGCAGCGAATCAACACTAGCCTGGATATCTCTGGGAGGTGGGAGGTGGGAGGAAACAGGAGCACCTGCCAAATACCCACGCTAACCTAGGAATCAAACTCGGAACCCTGGATCTGAGAGAGGTGCCACACTTCTATCAAAGCGCAACATCAGATATCCTGTCTCTGAGAAAATGGTGAATTTCCTATTGTTAAACACTTACAGGTATTCAGAGGTTTGGGCTGTGGTGTGACTTTTTTTATCCTAGAACTCACTTTTTAAACATTTAAGTTTTTAAATTCTGGACAGTTTTGTGACACAGATCCATTTTCTCATATGCATTTACAAAACAAAAAATAAGTAAATCTTTTATTTCTGACAGACAGTACTTTGTCTCATCTTTGGGGACCCCCCCCCCCCCACAAAGTTAAATTGTAGCTTAAGAGCTAAGCTTGTCATTTCTGGAGCTCGTTAGTGTGCCATTTAGAAATAAACAGTCGCTTTAATGATTTTACTCTTGTATCCATAGCTCTTCATTTTTTCAATTAAATAAGGCAAAGGTTAATATTAATTTTGGTTTTATGAGAAAATATTATTGTAAATGTAATAATTTTTTTTAAAAAAATATTTTGTTCCCAGTTAATTAAATGTTTTCTGTTGCACATTCTTATAAAATTACAGCAGGCAGGCGGAGCCACAGTGGGAGGTGAGCCACATTGTTTTAGTACAAAACAACATGCTCCTTATTAAAAGTTAAATTATACTTTCATTTGATACAATCATATTCCGAGAATGAATTGTTAGTTGGCTATGTTTCTGTAACATTGATTGTGGAGTAATCAGGAAACTAGTCAAGAATAAAAACTAAAAATATAAACTGTTGTACTATAGTCATTTATTTATTCAGCATTTTAAGTCATAACACCAGAATTTCACTGGTAAGAAAATGAACCATTTGATTTTGTTGTCATTATTAATGGAACCCTGTCCTAACGCTTCCCAGTAGCCACTGCCTGACCAGGAGTTCAGGTTAACATACTGTACATCATAGAGAACCAAGTGCACTAACTGGCTAGTATAGCTCACAGATACTGCATTGCCTATGAGAATTACACTTATGACTGGTGTGAGCCGAGAATCAGTTCACAGGGAATATGAACCTTATTTAAAGGTTTATTTTCTAAAAGTTGTGACAGCACAATGGGTGGGTTTCCAGCCATTTTCACAGGATGGCGCAGGACAGCTAGTACTGCAGCTGGTCGCAGGGAACTTACTGCCCGCCCCCAAAAGGACACAGCTCCTGACCCCTGTGCCTCTACTTTGTCAGCTGGTTACATTAACATCAACTTACTCCCCTGTTTGCTCTGATGTACCAGTTTCATTGGCATAAATAGCCTTTAATCTGTGAGTGCTGTTTCGCGCTCAGTTAAGGAATTGAGACTGAGATTTCCAGCTTGCCCTCTCTAAAGCATTGGGTACTTATTTCAGAGCTTTTGAGCACTGTACAGTATGTTTTTTAACTGTTTATCAATAAAACAACTTTCAAGGGAAGACCGCAATCAGTTTTGAAGGCTTCCAAGCCTGTCTCTGCCTGCTTGCATTGACTGTGCAAGTGAACGGTGCAGCTATAATGCCAGGTTGTAGGTTTATAGCAGTTTTTATAGGAGAGCAGCTGGCACTGTGGGGTGTGTTTCTCCAAGAGGGTAGTGATCTGGTTTAGAAAGTACTCCTGCGGCCTCTGAGGGTTTGGTATGAAACTGATGAAACCTGGTGGCGTTGATGATGTGATGATGTGTGACGAACTGCCATATGACTGCCAAGTCAGTCACTGTAGCAATTCCCATGCAACTGGAAGTGATATTTATTTTTAAAGTACATACAGTACATATTATTCTATAATATTAGACCATATATAATGTGTGTATTGTTAGAGTCTGTACGATTAATTGTTGTGGCATTGTTTTATATACTGTGTTCTTCAGTGCATTGAATTCCACTCTTTAAACATTTCCCTTTTACTTTCATAAACGCAAGGCTTATTTTTTATTAAATATAATCTTCTGTGGAATTTTTCATAAATGTTTTTATGAAAGGTTACTTTGCAGCCCAAAAACACTACTAAAGCATATGTAAAAGGTTAACATCAGAGTAACATTTTGATGTTTGTTGTGTCAACAAAAATCCTCTGATTTTAAGCATGCAGTAGGATGAGACTTTAACATTTAATGTTGTTGATAAAAAAAACAACATTGTAGCTGAATGATTGTAGCTTGATTTGTCGATTTACCTTGAAAAGAAACGAAAATATTATGAAGATGGAAGGTTTTGGAGGAATTAGTTTCACTCCTGTTGTTACAAAATAAGTGAATGCAGATCACTATTTTGGCCCTTGTGTTTGTGTTTGCTCTGCTGTGTTCCATTATCTGTAAAACTAGCCATATAGAGTTTAAAAATAACTTGGAAAAGTATCAAATACACAACTATTACTTTTAAATGAACATTAAATTGTTTCAGTATTAAAGATACCAATACATTATTGCACTGTTTTTTCTTCCTTGCACTTTTCAACTTTTCACAAATGCATAATGTGCTTGTTAATTTAATTTCTCAGATATGTAAAGTACTTTAAAAAAGAAAGCCACAGCCAGAAAGATACAGTTGAAGGTTTTAATTTTCTCTTTCAGAAAATCTTTCCCAGAAAGCTTGTGTTATCACAGGTGTCCATGAAGAGGCAATCCATCTGGGTCACTGCCTTGAGAAGATTTTGGTTGCAGGAGGAATGGTATGGTATATACATTCAATGATGGTTATCTCTTAAAAAAAAAAAAAGATTTTCCTATTAGGTCATAGCCACAAATGTTTACCATTCCACATATTGTGATCAGTGTGTCCGTTTTGTGTGGGCTGCTCAGGAGACATTAATGTCCTCTTTCTAAATAAGCTGCTCTAATTCACACTTGTTTCCTTCTGAATTGCACATCTTGTACACGCATGCATCGTACCCTCATTTATGCAAAGGATATTATTATGACATATCATTTTTTTTTTAGAATCCCCAATTATTCTAGTTATACCCACCCAATTTGGAACTGCCAGTTGTGTGTTTTTCACGCCTCGGCTCACAGCCATGAACCCCCTCACCGCACACAGGGGAGAATGAGAAAGTCTGGGCAGACGCCTCCCATCCTCCCACCTTTGAGAAAATTGTCTTTTAACACATCACCGGCAGCAGCGCCTCCTACTGGAGGGTCACTCGCCGACTGGAGGAGAGGCGTGTCCCCCCTTGCCTGGGGGTGTCCAGGAGGCCACAGTGTCACTGTGGTGCTGGGAGCTGAGACAGATCTGGCCGTGTAGTCCCACCCTTCCGTTTGGAAGATGCCAGCACTTTTCCCAGTCACTTTTAGGGAAAATCGGCTAGTCGTATGACACAGGGTCAGACCCATGATTGTAGACCTTAACCTACGCTCTTTGCAAGCACCTTTACTAGTAGAGCCACACAGCTGCAAAATCAGTTGTCTTGCGTGTCAGCATTTAGTGTCCCATTTTAGAGTGGAACTGCGTCAGCTTACAAGTTTATATTGGTGCACTAGTACTGCTGCAGTAATATTTTGCAACTCTTTATACACTTTTCCTCAGCAGCAGCAGACTGCAGTGTTGTTGGGAAAGTGGTCAGTGAATCACAAGTGCACCACCTACAGTACAGCCACTACCTGTATAGGTCCCTCCTCTCTCTTGGTCTCGCCTTTTCAGAGTTGACGGTGTATTTCTCTGGGTGACTGTTTTGAGCTTTCTTAAGTGTTATGTCTCTTTAAGCCTCAGAAAGTAATTTGTCCACTCAGTGGATCGGTCCCTCCAAATTTGGACTTGCTTGTTTCCTGAAGCATTCTGTGCAAGATGTGAGGTTCTCCGAGTGGCACGCTACTGTTTACACGTATCACTTGCAGGTACCTGCAGTGAGCAATTAGTGTGTTGTCAACTGACACGGACAATTAGCTGGTCTGAGTAATCAGTGGAAAGAATTCCACAGGTTTTCAGGTTGTGCCCCTGATCTTTTAATTTTGACGTTTTCACGAAGCTGAGCTAGAACATTTTTGGATAGGAGGAAACTACAGAAAATTATCCCGCACAGAGATGGCCCAGAATACTTGTAGATTTTCTTTGTATGTGCATTTAGGAATACTTGGTAATATTTTAATGCTTCATTTCTGTATTTTTAAAATACATTTTGTTTTCTTACTGGACTTACAAGTAGTGTTTTACAGCTAACTTTGAGAGAACATTAGATTTTCGTTTGGTAAGCATTGCTTGTGCATTGCTTTTTAAAATTTGTAAGTCAGAGCTGCCTTTATTTTTACTTGCTTTATTATGAAAACTCAGTAATTTCAGAAAAATATTGAATTATAGATTATAATAATTTAACATGAATTGCCATCTGACTGTAAGTCTTATCCAGAAATCAAGAGTGGTTCATTTGTAAGAATTTTCCGTAGTTTAAAGTAAATTGGCCTGAAATCCAGCAGTGATTAAGTAGGATGACTTAAGTGTTTTTCCGGCTTGGAATTAGAAGAATTTCACTTCTGATTTTTCTTCCTACATCTTGACCAATTTCGGTCTTGTACAGCGAATCCTTTCTCTCTCTCCCACAGGGCAGTATTTTCAACATGATGGTTAGTTTATTTCTTAAACTGCACCCTCTTCCTTCTTGAAGGACATTTTTAATAAAATACATTGCATTTTTTATTTTCTTTCCAAGTATTTCCTTTCCATAAAGTATTATTGGTTTTATTTTTAATTGGAATTATATTTCATATAATTCTAAATATGTTTATAGAACAGGAGAATCCACATTAGCCTCTGTCTAGATAACAACTTGTAAAGGTTTTTTCATTTGTTCATTTCTTTCTGAAGTTAATTTCACTATGTGCTTGTAGGTTTAATGAGCACCAGTGAAGATGGTTAACTAGCACAGCATGTCTTCATATTATAGATAAAAGTACGAGCTAGAGCTGACTTCTGTGTTAGGGTCCTGGTTTAGAAAACTTCAGGGGTTTTGCTCATGTCCTTTCAGCTTAAAGGGAACTCTGGAGTGAGAGCCCATGTAATCAGTCAGGCAGGGTGAGCAAAGATCTTTATAAAAAGCTCATATTTGAATGATTTTGATACCTGCCTGGTGCGGAGTTTTATAGGAGAGAAGCCCTTTGACGGAGGTCAGTGCTTCAGTCTAGGCAAATTGATGTCACAGTTTTGAGCGGAAAGGAAGTTACAGAGTGTGGGATCAGATGAGCTGAGCATTCCCTCTTCTGGCAGGATTCTTGCTTCCTCTGTGCTCTTACATAAACATCAATGGAGTTTTTGTTCAGTCTCCAGTTCCACCTGCTTTAAATCATTTCAGAAGATCATGTATCTGGATTTTTTGCTTAAATTGATTATTTTTTTTGCTGAAACATATACTGTTATCTTTCTAAACTAATTAAAACTTTCCATGTGTTTTCTATGAAAATTTCATCTTTTCAATCCCCCTTGTGAGTGCGCCAGACTCTCTGATGCCATAAGCTTTGTTTTGACATTGTTGCTTTGTTTCCAACACAACACTAAAGATCAGTTGCTGCAGAACATTTCCGTAGAATGTTAAAGCATAGGAGAGAAAAGCATAATTAAGATGGCTTCAGCTCATTGTGCTATAAAAGTTTCTACTGAACAGAATAAAATAATTTTATCTGCATGACGTTTTTCCCTGTCCAATATGAATTTATCCATCAACATTTACAGTATACAAATGTGGTCACTCTGAAAACATTTCACATGTTTTGTGCATGTGTACAGAGCAGAGGAATGGTTACTGAAGAAAAGGTCTGTTTGCGGACATCTGTGTGAATAAACTGGTGCCTGACAATTGTCTGAAGACGCTGGACTTTCACTTGTCGGAAAGCTGTCAACAGCAAATCAAGAGCCAGAAGACGCAAATGGGAACGATGTAGCAGTGTGTTTAAAACCGAGAATGGGAGGCACTGCTTTGTGTAAGAAGTTCTGGGGGTGTGGAAAAAGCTGCCAAGCCATGGGGTTGAAGCAGATACCCCAGTATCTTTCAAGAAACAGCTGGATGAGATCCTTGGGTATCTACAGCATACGGCAAGCTAGAAGGACACCTCTTGTTTCCTGTCTTGTGTTGTAAAAGTGACATGGAGTCTGTGCCAAAATAAACAGAAAAGTCTCATCTCATCTGTGGCCTTTCTTATGCTCTTTCTTGCATCCTGCAGCAGCTGAGGATGCAACATCTGGGGTTGCTCTCGTCTCAGCCCTCATGTGAGCTAGCGTCATGTCCACAGCATACTGTAGATGTTACAGTTCAGGAGATATAAGTGATAGAGCAAATAAAGTTGCATTAGAGTTATCATTTAACATTTTGCTAGCCAGAATTTTAGACCACAGAAGCAAAAAAAAACCACCTTTTAGTTGCACCTGTCTGCTTTCTTGTTTTGTTACCTGAGCTGTTGGGTTGACAGTGGCCTGCAATAGCCTTTGAACTGTAGCCCAAAGGACGTAGTTATGCTTCTTTTTGACAGCTGCGCTGACGTTCAGATCCTCTGGGAATCGCTGTGGATTTGATCCGTTCTGCAGGAGTGAGAAGCCAGGATTGTACAGCAGTGGGAGTTCCCCTTTGTCCATTAATAATGACACTTGTTTAGAGAAGGGATCTGCATGTGCATTCTTGAAAAAGGTTAAGATTTGCATTTTTGTACAAAGTGCCTGAATGATCTGATGTAGACACTCTAATAAACTTTGAGTGCATATCTACTTTCTAGTAAAAAAAATAAAGGCTTAAGAATGTGATTTTTTTTTTATCTTGAAGAAGGTGGATATCATATCTACTTCATGTGGAGATGATGGATCCTTTGCTAAGAATGTTTCAGAGAGCTACAATTTGATACACATCACAGTAAGTTCTCAAGATAATTTATTTCTGAATTAATCTAGTTAAAGTTCATTTTACCTCATTTTTTAAAACAACATCTGATGCTCTTTGTGCCTCGTTCTGAGTTGATGGTTTAGGGGTGAATGGACGTATGTAGTGCTTTTTAAATGAACTCTGAGTGTTCAAAATCACCAATTAAAAGTTTGTGTCTCTTCCTTACAGGTCAGCACTGCGTGTTTTCCTGAGATTAAGCACACAGTAGAAACAGTTAGGAAGACAGATCTTCCGGTTCTCGGCCCTGTAGTGTTGATTGTGGTGAGTAATCCTGTGCAGCTTGTTGCTGCAGTCAGAGTGGGGTTATTTCAAATAGGCTCCTTCACATACTGGGTGCTGCAGTGGGATCGACCATGGAGCAGTGTGAGACGGAGCTGAAACAATGTTCAAAACCTCAGTTGCTTGCTGAAGAATAACAGGTTTTCATATGCAGTGGTACATTGGCCTTTTTTTTAGAAAAACACATTAAAACAGCATTTAACTGCTTAACTGCCTGAACACTGAACAGCAATCAGGAGTTTTCCCAAGTATAACACAGAAAGACCTCTACATCTTAAAACGTTTTTCGTTGTTAGTGTTAGTGTTCTGTTTACAAATCTTTTCAGATAATTACTCTTTTAACCTTTAAGCGTTACCAGTTATTAGGGAGAAAGAAGATCTGTGTTGTGGAAATTCTTCATTGAATCCTGAAGTAAACCAGGAATACCTTACACATCACAAGGTTCCCAGAAAAGCACTACACAGAGGAGGCACCAGGATTCTTTACCTTCAAGCCAACTTTAAAGCCAATTGATTTCACAGAGCCCTTTGAATATTGGAATGTTTTTGGTTCACTATTTAGCTGCTCGTCTCCAATTGTATAGCCTTTGAAACTTCTAATGCTTTCAGGTCCTTATCCCTGAGCCACGTTTCGGAATGGAAAGGTTTTAAAAAAAAACCTGATCCCTGAAAACATGAAGGTGCTTGAGGAAGATGGTGTCTTTCTCGATTCTCGATTCTGGAAGTTAAGGGAGGATCTGAGGCCATGTTCAGAAAATAAAAAGTGAAAGTTTTAGGTGACTTTTTTAGTCTATATGCTTGTGTACATCTGAGTGACACTGACTGACGTCACCCCCTTGAAACGTCGACAGTGTAGAACTCCCCTGTCAGAGAAGACCCTGTGTTTTGCTGTAGCAAATTTCGCCTCTGTGTGGGGTGCTGCGCCGTCTCAGCCCATGAATGACCATGGCCAGAACAGATCCACAATTATCACATATCTATCATATGAATTTATCGGTTTTACTTGTGCACCTCATATATACATTTTCTATGTATGACGCTATCTAAAGAGACTCACATCACTTTGGTGGGAATGACACTTGGGGCAATCTGGATAAACTACCTTTGCTCAAGAATACAGCAGTGGTTGAAAACTCTAAACTCTAAAACTCTGAATGAAGTTTTAGACATTTTGTGTGTGTGATTTGAGCACAAGCTTACACAAACTGTACAGATTTCTTAAATGTTGTGAGGTGTGAAGGTTTAGGGGTATATTCATATATCAAGCTGCACAACAACTTCTGCTACGCAACAAATTGGACAACAGACTTGCCGACTTGCATTTTCTCCACTCTGCACTTTGTTTGAATTTCAGTGCAATGTACTTCATAAATATATAACATCTGGCATTTCCTTATTTTACGGTTAATTTTATGGAAACCCATGCTGATATGAAGACTTGTGCTATTGTGTGTGAGTGTGTGCATCTGTTTTTCCTTGAAGTTTACAGCATGGATAAAAAAGAATTTTAATTTTGTGAACAATCAGAGCTTCTGTTTTTAATGCAGATAGGTATCGGAGTGAAACAGTGAAAACATTCACATAGAGACTTAAATATGCACATCACTAAAAGAAAAAGCAACATTTTAGAGTAGATCACTTTTGTTTTTGTGTGTGCATTTGTTCCTTATTCTCTACAGATCTAAGGAAGATGACAAAACCCTATCAGCATTTTGGTGTTAGTGCGTTTCCACAGTATCTCCCTCAATGTATAGCTGCATTGTTGTCTGTCAAAATATCCTGCATAATAAACTGTTCATGCTTATGCACTTATGTTCACTTATGGTTACAGATTGTGCTTACATTTTAATAAATGTCTAAATACAGACCAAAACATCCTGGTTATAGTGTTAATGGCTCCTGAAATGGGTTTGCCTTTATAAGTTCCTTGAATAAAGGTATGTTTGTTGCCTGAAAGTAATAGAAGAGCTGTATTACAACCAAAGGACAGGTAATAATCAAAAGAAAATGTAGCATTTTATTAAAAAAATCTCTGACCACAACCATTCTAGATTTGCTCAGAAAACCCCCCAAAAGCCAAAACTCTTAATATCTTAAGAATTTTAAGGAACATCCAGATTACACGGTTATTTTAAAAAGAGCAGGGCATGAAATTCGAATACCCCAGCGGCGTGCTGTGACTTGCTAAGCATGAAGCACTTTACCAACATTTAGAATAGAAGGAATAAAGGCATCCAGCACTAGTTCTGTGATTGTAAGAACAACTACTATATTTGTAGTGAAAAACAACAGAATTGTAGAGTATCCAGTGTTTAACTTCACAAGTTATAGATCAAAGCCCTGTCCTCATGTTTTTGGAATGCTAATTCTTGTGACTGAGATGCACTACAAGAATAAATCTATGTTCACTTGACAAACCGTTTGACAAACCGTTTTTTTCTACTTGGTTGCCTTACAACAGGTATTGTTGTAAGGCAACCAAGTTGCCTAACCAAGGCAACTCAAGCGTTTGTCAGGCGTTTTGGATGCTGATGGTCTGTTCCATGAAGTATGGTTGAAATATTAAGATATTTAAAATCAAAGGGCATGATCATTTTTGTATAACACTGCCCACTGTGCATGTCTGTGGCTAACATTGTATTTGCCACTGCTAATCCAGGTAGCAGTGCAGGGATATTGGGATTCACTTCCCTGACTTTAGACAAACTAGGAGTACTGTAATAGAAGAACAAAAATGACCACACATTTAGGCCTCTGTAACCTGAAAGCACTTCACATTTTTATAGTATCAGCAGTTGCACTGCCAGTTTTTACAACATTTTTACAAAATGCCTGTAACTCATGTGTTTTGGATAAATGTCATCTCTTATTTGGAAAACCTTTGCAGTTTGCAGCCACCGAGCTGAAGTAATGGAACGGTTCTGTGGGCTGAGTCCCTGTGATTCCACTCCCTGCTCCGTAAGGAAAGGAGCACTGGCAGTGAGGCTGTGGAGCGAGGATTTTAGTGTGGACCTTTCCGAGTTATCTTACGTTACCTTACTTTATTGGACTTTTTTACGTTGCCACCTTACAGTCAGGTCTCAGAAAGTGAAGAGGTCAGGGCTGGGATTTGAGCCCATCAAGGAGAACCAGGTTGGTGCTGTGGGGGATGTTAGGGGACCAGAAGGTGGACCCTTTGGTCAAGAGTTTCCAAAACACATCCCCAGCGTGGTGACCCAGAACACTGTCATTGGAGGGGTCATGCTTTAGACGAGACATTAAACTAAATTAAGTCCTGCCTGCCTACCTGGCCGTGAAAGTGCACTGTGTGTGAGAGCTGGGGTGTTAACACCTAGGGTCCAGGAGGGGCTTGTTCAGTCTGGCCCACCTCAAGATCACCCTTGACACAACTGGCTGAGCACTTTCATGCTCCACCGCCTGACCTGCCAGAATGGGGCAGCTGGCAGAGGGCCGCTGCCACATGTTTACCCTGCTGGGTGGCACAATTCGGGAAGAGAGTCCCCTCTCACATGGGATGCGCTGTGTTTTTTTTACTGGGGTGAACCTGCGACTTACAGCAGGTTTTTCTTTATCATCAGCTGGAAAATGCAGCTTTACATCAAGACTGAAAGGACAGGAAAAGTGTCCAGAATAAGATATAAGATTAGATAAGTGTAACTTGTAGGCAAGTTTGAAATCAGTTATAAATGTCCGATTAATGCCTTACATTTATAATCCAGCCTTTCACGTCATCATGTGAGGAGGGTTACTAGTTTAATATTCCCAGTAGTGCATCTGCACATTGTTAAAATGCGCACCCGTGTCATTTCAACTTAAAGCAAGACTGTAAAAACTGGGTTTTTGGTTTGACGTTTTGCTCGTTTTCCATTTTTCTTTGAGGAAAATAGCAAAGTGTCAGTCCTTTTTATGTGTTGCTGAATTTTCATGCCACTTAACCTTAATAAAGATCTTGAAAGACATGACACCTCACCTCCGCCAGCTGAATGAGATGCGTTCAAATCCGTTGCAAAGAGCTCACCTGTAAAGGAAGTCTTTCCTGACTGGTGTCAAGGCGTTGTCAGACACCGCTGCCGCTCTGTAACAGAGATCACAGGTACGTGTCTGTGCATTCAGTTGTTCATAGATAATATCTGTCAACCCTGACATTAGGAAAAGCAAATACAAGACCTGGAGACTAATTCTGCCTGTACATGGGGGATCCCATCCTGACAGGAAGAGATAGCCCCTCTGGCCCAGAGGAGCTGCTCTGTATGAACTGCATGGGGGATCATTTGCCTAAGCAAATAACTGGTGTGGAAAAAATGTGTGGATGGTAAGTTACTTGTGAACGAGGGAGGTTATAACAAAGACGCAATGATCTTATCATACATTTCTTTTCTTTGAAAACAGAAACATAACCGGAGCAAATTGGACATCCACTGACCTGACGCGCATGTAATAAAAACAGGGCTTTTTCTTTTTTAACACTCACTGGAAGATTCGAACAATGCGGTTTAATTGGCCTTAAATTTTGCAGATCCAGATCCCTTTCATTCTCGCTCTATGTCTAATTGGTGTCTTTCATGTTTTCTTAGGTGCATTTGAACTTGTCAGAATGTACATCTTTCAGCAAGAGAATGGATGAGCTCGTCACCATCAGGGGCTTTGCAAAGGAAGCAAAACAGTGGAATATTTTAGTTTATGGTCTCCTGCTTAATTACACAAAGGTATGTATTCTCCTTCTATCCACAAGCCACTGAGTTTTTTAAAACACTTAGTTGAATTAATAGCCTTTAGGAATGTCCTTTTGTGAAATCAAAGCAAAACAGTGAGGCAACAGCTCCTCTTTCTACAGTCTTGTCTCCTCTTGTAGCTCTTCTGGAGGCAGTGCTTTGCAGTCTTTTGTAAGTACAAAAACATCACTGAAAGCCTGTTTCAAACACTCCCTTGAGGATCGCTGTTTCCTAAAGTTCAGAATGATTTTATATCATCATGTTCAACGTTTCAATGTATTTTTATGTTAATATTGATATATTTTCATTGTTAGAATGTGTAGGTTTTAGAGGAATCGTGGATTTGGAGTCAGCCCTATGAGATCATTTCTTTCTAAAGTTTTTATTTTCCACAAGGTTTAATTTTAAAGTAAGTAGGTTTTGGCTTATTTTATTTAGTTTCTATAAATAGCTAGGGGACCTTGCAGTGAGTAACCAATTAAAAAATGTATTTTTTCTTGCATAATTACCTGCAGTTTGCAATTGCCACAATATAAGAATTTTGTACATAAACTCATCCTGTAGTTTTGGTTTGCTTGGAGACAACATGCCATTGCAGCTGAAAATCCTGCACAAAAATGAAGAATAAATGAGTCGTTTTATGATTATGCCACAGATGTAACTCATTTAAAAGGGAGAAAAGGAACACATGGCCGCAAAGAGAAAAATGTGGCTGTTCTCCCCTGGACACGGGCTCTTATAGAATCTGACAGGCTCTAAATGGGATTTCAAAGAGAATCCAGTTCCAACATTTTTATCTCTATAACTGTTGCAGAGATACACACCGTACAGTATGTGGTGTAGCCAAGATATTTCAGTTAGTCTGCCCAAAAAAATATGGAGAAATAACACTGGAGAGCATGGATTTTGGTGACCGTGAATGACCAATAAGAGGGTCTGTGAAATTGCTCTCTGTGGCAGGTTGTCTGCTCACGAGAAAGTACCTCAGACACATCTTCAAGTCACTTTGAGCTGTGCTTTCAGTTTTAAATTCAGTTAATGAGTGATGTGTGCAGAATCTACCAATGTGCAAAATTACTTGTGTGTATTTCTGAAATTTCCACCCTATTTTACATGTATTCAGTCATAATTATTTTTGTGTGGTAAACTGTATGTACTGTAATAATTTGATAAGCTTGTGGTATTTTTATTATTTTTCTGTGGTATTTGTTGTGGTGCAAAACTCCAGCTGGAATTTCACTGAGTCTGTACAAAGTAACTGTGGGAGCTTTAGAAGAGTTTTGGGGGGGCAGACGTTTACCACATTAGTGAGAATTTCAAACTTTGTTGATATTGCATGCTTTGACTTTAATTTAAAGTGGTATTTTCATTTCAAAAGGTTAACAGTATTGTTCTTTAAAATCTGCAAACCCCTGCCACTTAGACTAAATATATTAAAAGGAGTTCTGTAATCAAACCCTTATCCCCCATCCAAACTGTTTTAAAAAGACTTTGGAAAACTAATTGAGGTTATGTATTTTTTTCTAATTTAACAAAGTTAAATATTTTAAATATTTGAGGTGAGCTTTGAGTTTAGAAGGTTTTCTAGTTAGTGGTTAATGTTTCCGAGTTTGTCCAAGATGAAGCAAAGTGTTACTACAGATTCTGTAAGTTTTTAAACATATACGATTCATAAACAGTTCATCTACAATAACAAACTATTCCTTGAAGGAGGAAAGAAAAATCATACCCCGGCTCCCCGAGGAATATGATGTAGGATCATGCCCTGCTTCTCATAAAAAACATAAACCTTTAGTCTGAAAACCCTTTCTGTGGTGTAAGCTTGTGGTTTATAAGTATGTATCACAAAATAACATACAACAGACAAGGAAAATGTTTACTGAGAATGTGGTTCTGCTGTTATATTGATAGCCCAAATGCCTTCTGGTCTTACACTAAAAGTTGTGAGTATTAATAATCTAAAGTTGAAGGAAGCAGTGATGTCTAGAATTGCTTTCTGGATTATTCATTATTCAAAATACTTTTAATTTTAGATAATTACATTTTTTCGTGCTTTTTTACGTGAAAGGCACATGTAACACAGACTTCCACATGCATTTTATTATGCTGTCTAGGAAAGTGAAGTCTCCCTCATTGTGGTGCAAACTGGCGATGTCATTTTAAAGCAATAATTTGCTTTTGCTCTTCAGTGACTACATGCAGGGTCAGTCATATAGCAAAAAGCTTTATAAACCTCCCGATTTTTCTCTGTGTAACGTTACATTTTTGCTTTACATTTAACATCGAATTTGATAGGATGCCCCTGGAGTGTGGCACATTTCTTTCTCCAAAAGCCTTTTTAAAGAGCATGAATACAGGAAATCCACCCGAGCTGGATAAACAGACAGGTTTTCTAGCTTAATCGCTGACTTAGGATCTGAGATTGGTGTGAACCTGGAACGCTATGAAATGTTCCTTGCAGTACTCGCTCGTAAGGATTTGTAGACTTGGTAGAGAAAAGGACAGGGGCAAGTCACAACTGGGAAAAAAATATTGAATTAGTATTTAAATAGCTTAATTTATGTTTTTCCAATAAAAGCTGAAGACATTGTGCTTTTCCCAATCAGTGCCATAGTTTAACTTTTAACCCTGTGAATAAGTGCTTTTCCCCCATTCTAAAACTTCTGTCATTTTGAAGTAACTCGGAGTGGAGTTTTTATATTAAAAGTATAGAATTTAATTTTGATTTAAATTTATTTTTTTTACACTTTTACAATGTGTCTAGAGGATGAAATGCTTAAATGAACATATTGTATCACAGCGGTATAAAAAATGAATACCTAGGTTTTTTTTCATAAGTATAATTTTCAATTTACCTTTTCACAATTTTTTAAATTTTGTTACTTACATGCATCACCTTTCTCTTAACATTTTCCTGAATTCACTGAATTATTTTACTTTTTGGACCACAGCTGTATAATCCTTGATTTACTTACTCTTAGTATGAATCTTGTTTGTACTTCAAACAGAATTTCTCTAACCTATGGCTGTCAGTTTTGTATTTTCCATATTTATCTTGTCCCATTCTTGTTCCCCTAAGTAGAGCTATAAATTGAGGCATAATTGAAACGGATCAGTCAATCTTTTACAATGTAAAAGTATCAGCAACCTTACTTTTCTATTGAAATATCAATGCATGATCTACATCGTATTTAAAATGTGTGTTACATTAAGAAAGAAATGCAGTGGGAACGTCCACACGCCTCGCAGTATTTTTATCCCTAATGGGTGTTTTTCACACAGGATTCAACATTATAGGAAGTATCATTTAACCCCCTCACTTTTCACAGTGCAGTTTGTCACTAAGTCAATAGGGTTGTCACAGAGGTGCATAGGGGCTTTGATCCTCACTCTCACAGCCCTGATGATTTCTTGACGACTGTTTCCTCCTCACCAGTGAAGAAGCAAGAGGAATGCTAAACCTGAGATGAACGTTTCTGCAAAGCACTATGGATCCATTCCGTCCTCCGTTCATAAGATGCCATCTGTAACGAAAGTGCTAGATTCCGATTTGAAAGTTTGCCTGTCCTGAAAACACTCTAAAGCACACGTGCCGGGGCCTAAAAGCAAAGATTTGCTGAATCCAGCTCATCGAAAACAAAACATAAGACACTTTAAAAGCCAGTGCTTCAGCAGTCGTGCTTTAAAAGGCCTGAATACCGTTATCAGAAATCCACATTCAATTGAGAAACAGTTGAATAATGCTAGATGCACGTCTTCAGTGTGCTGCAATAGTATGATGTTGCAGATTGTCAGTTGTTTGTTTTAAAGAAGCCTCTTCTCCCGTGTCTAGATTTAGTTAATGGGGACAAATACTGTACACACTGATGGACAGACTTTTACATTAAAATGGGAATGCAGACCTTAAGCTTTAAACACTTGTAGGCTCACGCAGAATTGTCTTAACATCTCTATTTTCACAGAAACCATTGCCTGTCCTGCATAGCATGTGACATTTGGTTTCACTCCCAAAGGCTCCCAATGTATTAAAAACTCCTGGGCTTTTGGCTTAGTGGTTGTCAATGCTTTTGGTGTGAACTTTGCAGCTTAAGCTATGGGAGAAATTGTGAAGAGAAATTGCTTTTGAATTCCATCTTTGGTCGAGCCGCATACAGCACAAACACTATTCTCTCTGGACCACAACATACAGTATCAATGGCCATGTGGTGCATAATTAGTACATTACCTATTGCTTCATCAATTAACATCCCCTTCTCCTAAAGTCTTTGGATTTAATTAAAAATTAGTTTCTAACCTGAATTAGGATTTAGCCATTAATTTCTTATCATAAAGACTTTACTTATAGTCTCGTGTTTAGATGTTATTGCATGTGTGCCAGTCCAATTCATTCTGTACACCGAGGTGCTGTACTGTAGTTAGGATTTAGATAGATTGTGCTGTGGTGACACTTGGGAGAAATCAGTTTTGATCTCTGCAGTTTGGAGTTGTCCAAGTTGTCCAATGGATTGTGTTGAACTGGCATAAAATTAGGCAAGGAGTACTGTTTGTTCAGTTTTGATTACTTGGATTAAAAAATGGAAGACTTTAAAAGCATAACAACATTATATTTTTCAGTCTTAAGTAATTATATCTTAATTCCAAAGCAACATTCCAAAAGGAACCGTTGTTAACATTGGCTGCATCATTAAACAAAATGAATAGCTAACCGTGGCTTAAGAGTTCATCAATATTTTTCATAAAAAAAGTATTCTTAAGACTGTTTTGCGGCATTAATATATGCAATTATTTGTTTTTGTACAGTCTGTGCTCTTGTGGTTGACTTTGATTTGACCACCCACAGAAGCTGCTGAGAGCACTTAATTTAACACCTTCTGAAAAAACCTCAGCAGCTTTCAAAAGATCCTAGTTCCAGAGCATTTTGTGGGTGAAGTACAAGTCTTGTGCCTTTATTTTCACTGTATACACAGAACTGCCAGCTATTCTGATAATTCTCT